AAGATTATTACATGAATTAAAGTTTTGATTGATTACATTTAAGAATTGCGAGAAACACCTTTCGATCAGGCATACTACTGGGGTCCTAAGCTGGGATTCATCACTTCACCACACCGGCTTGTTTGTTCTTTCCTGATCCATTCGCCTGTCTCTTCCTATTACTTCTGTCACTACTGTCCTATCTTTAATGATAAAAATAAAAATTCATATACTCTACCAATAAATTTGGGGTCAAAAAGATTTTATTTCTATAAAGATTCCAGAAAACAGTGCATCACAGTGCACAAAAATACTAAGCATTACAACTGTTTTCAACATGGATCATAATAAGGAATGTTTCTTGAGCACCAAATCAGTATATTAGAATGATTTCTGTAGGATCATGTGACACTGAAGAATGTGACACTCCGCTAGCTCTAATAGTAACTCATATCCAGGTTTAATTTGGCAGAATCTGCATTAGTACTGCATTAGACCATTTGCATGGACAGCAGTTGCTATCCACTTATCCACTTGGACACTTCCAGGTCCAAGCTCCAGTGAGAATACTAGCTCAACAGCAGTTTCTGAACATTATTTATTCATATTACACATTCAAGGTACGCTTTTATAAACTTGCGTGTCACGTTGGAGATACTACTGTATATTCTCAGGGCTCAAGGATTCTTGGACACCAATTAAACGATTATTTAAAAAGATAAATCCCTGTCTGGCCATCTGGGATGAGATAGAGTTAGGATCGTGTTTTTTTTTTCTTCTTTCAATTTTCCCCTGTAGTTTAATGGCATGCTGTGAGTGTGTATTAGTACCATTTGTTGTTTGCTTTTGGTATCTGACAAGGGTTTGTACCCAGAAAAGGTGATGCATGATTCAGACTTCACAAGCAGATTCTACAGAAGTAAATGTTAGTGTTGTATGTGACCAATACACTCACACATATGAGAATTAATTAAAATGGTTTTCTATCTCCTCGCAGCAAGTGGCAGTGCCAAGTTGTCTGGGTGGCATGGTGCGGCCCGTGACTGGTGCAGATGTGGGTATCCGGAGGGCAGAGATTCGCCCAGGTCTTCGTGAGGTCATCATCTGCAAAGACCAGGAACGAAAGGTCGGCCTCCGACTCAAAGATATCGATAATGTGAGTAAAGCTCTTCGCATTTAACACTTCCTCAGAGTCATGACTGGTGTTGTGATTTATTGTTTTGAGTGAGTAATTGGTATGTGGGTTAAAAAGGCATTACAACATCATTCTCAGCATATGTGTCATTGTTATCATCATCAGCAGCAGCAGCCAGATGTCCTTATCTTCATGTATGTCATTGTCTTTAGGGAGTGTTTGTCCAGCTGGTGCAGGCGAACTCTCCAGCGGCTTTGGGTGGTCTGCGTTTTGGAGATCAGGTCCTGCAGATCAACGGGCAGAATGTTGCTGGCTGGAGCTCAGATAAGGCCCACAAAGCTCTGAAGGCAGCACCTGAACAACGCATCGAGCTCATCGTTCGTGACAGGTCAGTCATTTATATCTATACAGTACATGTTTGGGTCAGTAAGAATTTTTTTTTTTTTAAATTAGTCTCCTATGTTCACACAGGCTGATCAAAAATAACGAAAAGTGTAACATTGTAAAAGTTTATTGTAATTTAAAGTGTGTGTGTGTGTGTGTGTATATTACACTAACAAAATATTCATAGAAATTTGACAGCATCAGCATGACATGTGTATTATTATATTTGTGTCGTTCTTTGCTGCCTCCTGGTGGTTGAATGATTTTTTTGAACGCAATATGAAAAGGAAAGTTCCTAATTGATCCAAGTTAAAGGAGTAGTTCACTTAAAAAAAAAACTTTTGCTGATAATTTACTCACCCCCATGTCATCCAAGATGTCCATGTCATTCTCTCTTCAGTCGAAAAAATTGTTAAGTTTTTGATGAAAACATTCCAGGATTTTTCTCCATATAATGCACGTTACTGTTAACTAAACGATTCAAGGTCCAAAAGACAGTTTTAAGTGCAGCTTTAAAGGGCTTTAAACGATTCCAGACGATGAATAAGAGTCTTATCAAGCGAAACGATCGTTCATTAAAAAAAAAATTACAAAGTTTAAGTTTTATAAGCTCAAATGGTCGCCTTGCTCGCAACGATTTTGAAGTTGACATTTCTCTCTTCACTCTTACTGTTTGCATTACTGTTTAATGCAATATCATGATTACATAAAAAAGGGGTTGAATCAAAAAATCATTTTCAACTATATGTTCCAGACCATTCCAGCGCACAGTCACCATGCATAAAGACAGCTCTGGCCACGTGGGCTTCATCTTCAAATCTGGGCGCATCACGTCTCTAGTGAAGGATGGTTCTGCTGCCCGCAATGGCCTGCTCACAGATCACTACATCTGCGAGATCAACGGCCAGAACGTCATTGGACTCAAGGTGAGTTTTTTTATTTTATTTTCCAGAATATGCCTTTAAATGTGGTCTCTGTCATGTCCCAGTACCAATTGTTTTTATAGTAAAATCACAAACCCATAAAATAAAATGTTAAAAAAGGCATTTCAGTGTTAAACTGAGATCCATATCTATCACTTACTATAAGAAATCAAATTATTTGATCAATTTGAGATTTGTGGAGTAAAGTATTTTGTTTTCTGTCTCCAGGACACTCAGATCAAGGACATCCTGACCACATCTCCTACTGCCATGACCATCACCATCATGCCTAAGTTCATCTACGACCACATGATTAAGAAGTGAGACCCAGCTTTTTATATACTCCTAAACTATTTAATAATTATAGTATAGCAGTGACTAAATAAAGAAATAAATTGTATGTGTGTTTTAAAAAATTATAGCTATAAATAAGTTCGGTATTTACATCTATAATTTCACTGTTAAGCCTTTCCGTAAACCTTAACCCACCATCAAATCTGCCCAGTAGAGCTGCACGATTCAGGAGAAATTGAGAATCATAATTTCTTGAAAAAAGTTTTTCCCATTATTTGTTGTCTGAATAGACAACAAAATAACTGACTAATTTACTCTGTTTTGACAAAATGTTAATTGCTGCAGTCTATTTAAAAAAATTTTTTTTTAGTTAATATGAATTATGTAAAAACAAATCGGTTTAAATGGTTGACTAAATGACTCACTCGAAGACATTCATTACCCTATGAATCAGTGTTTTTAACATCTCTTGAATGATTCAATTGCAAATGCATTTTTTTAAAGCTACACTGTGTGATTTTTACCCCCATCTAGCGGTGAAAAGGTATATGACCATCCAGTGAATATTAGTTTCTGTTCCTCTCAATTCCGATTTCGTTTTAACTCCTACGGTGGCCAGTGTAGTCCAAGAGTAACATGGCTTCCAGTTCTACCTCGTCCATGAGTGTTAACTCAAACGTAAACGCGAAAGGCGAAGCTTGAATTAATGGGTATGTCCCTCTTTGGCTAATTTACTTTCAAGATGGAGGGGCAACATGGCGACACTAGAACCCCTTACCCGTATGTATTTTCAATGGCATATTATACACTCACGAGAATACTTTATTACTTGAACAAAGTAAATGTACATTAATGAGCACATATATTTTTGAAAGAACTAAGTGTTTTTAGCTAAGAATAAACCAAAAGTGTTACACAGTGTAGCTTTAACAGTCACTTGTCTACTGGTGCAACAGCATAACTGATACAATAGTTATTTGAAGCATCAAGTTACTTTCAAATTGGGTTTTACTCTATTTTGATCGCTACTGTGGTCAGTGTTTATACCTAAACTATAAACTTTTACTGCAGTGCTTTTGTGATCATTTGAGTAATATTTCAGTTTCATATCTATACATGGCCACTGCTCTCTCTGGGTTCGCAGTTGCACCAACACATATTTGAACGTACCCTGTGATAGTACTTGTAAATAAATGACTTCTTAATGTGCATCAAGCTTACTTAACAAAAACAGACATCAATAATCTGAAAAATTTGAGTCAAAAATAATCGTCAGGCAAAATGTTCCGATGACAGCTGTAATCTGTGTATTGCAGGATGTCAAGCGGCCTGCTGAAGTCCTCAATGGATCACTCTGTGCCTGAGGTCTGAACACAGGAGTACACTCACACCCCTTTCCACAATGCCTACAATCTCTAGCCTTCCCATTTGAGCCTTCCACCTCATGGGTCATCTATCACTGATGGGATAAACCTCCTCAATCACATTCATTTATAACATGTACAAATGGCCTTTTTATTTTACTTGTTGGCTGTTATTGTTTTGCCTTCTAGTTCTTGATTCTGTCCTTCATGTCATTGTTGTCATATTACATGTTATATAATAATCCATCGTCATAACTGAGTATTATTATTATTATTATTCTATTATTTTAATTTGGCTGGGAGGAAAGGGGTTAAAAACGGAATCTGAGCTTCCTTTTTGAAAAGCGTTAGCTTCAACACTCCTATCTTTTCCATTTCTCCCACTATGCACAAACACTTTGTTTTTTTGAACATCTATATGCCAAGACAGCTGTACTCTGCCAGAATGAATCATTGGCCAGAATTTGTAATGTCACAACTCATTTCTTATTGATTGTGAACATGTTTTTTTTAGGCGTTTAATCTTTGATGATATTCTGTCATTATCCTGTAAATGTTTTAGTGTCTCTAAAAATTTATATTCGAATGTAACCTGAATACTGAAATTATTACAAAATAAATAATCATCCTGGTGATACCATTGGAGAATATTGCTCTATATATATATATATATATATAATCAAAATGTTTTACACATTTGCTCTTTTCCAGATGATTAGGAACTTGAAACAACGGATGTAAAAACATCAAAAGTAGCAAGAACTCTTTGTTCACCATGCTGTTTAATATAGATCCTTTTACAGAGCGATGTTGGTCAAGAGCAATGTGTTGCAGTGATGTCTGTTCACACGAATATTACCATAAAAAATATTATTCTACACAAAAATATCAATAGACAATATGAAACATTGCCAGACTTACAAGACTGGTTCCACTTAGGGTGCTGTTAGACAATACAGAGCCAAAACTGAAGTGCCAGATGAAAAATGTAAACGTCATTGGACTTCTTATGTAAGAAAAAATCTCTATAACAAATGTACCTCTCTGAAATCAAATCTTGTAGGCACAGTCGTATAATCCTGCTTAACAGACACTAAACTGCTGATGTGAGTGTCAGTTTCCCACCAATTTTACATTTCAATGATCTGAAAGAAAAACACATGGTTTATGACTTTTTGGTGGCTAAACCACTTTCAATCTTTTCATTTAACCAAATAATTTGCAGAATATGTGGTACTAAAGTCTTCTAACCATATTTGAAGGTGATAAAAGGAAACAGACAGTTACCATGCTCAGACACAGTGCTGTTAACCTCGGAAGAAACGTAACAAATACTTTATTAGTAAACTAACATGTATTAATATCGGTAGACTTCTTAATGGTGGATCTGAGGCTTTAAAGCAAATAATCTGTGATTATCAGTTACCATCCAAATGCAGAAAGAAAAACATTCTCATGAGAACGTTCTCATTCTTCTTCTTGTTACCGGCTGCTCACCGCTTAGGAGTATTAGCGCCACCTACCGTATAAAATGATGATCCATATATAAGGCGCTCCGGATTGTAAGGAACACTGTCGTTTTTTCAGAAGATTAAAGGCTTTTCAGTGCACCTTATAGTGCGGAAAATACGCAAATTGAAAAGCGTATGTACAGCGCGCATCTTCCTCTGCTTGTAAACAGAAAGTTTTGCGCTTCCAGCTATATCAGCAAATCATCTTATACGGTAGGGGGCGGTAAAACTCCTCAGCGGTGAGCAGCCGGTAACAAGAAAGTAGACGAATGAGAACGTCCTCGTCTCAGTTTCTCGCGCATGCGCCCATAAGGAAGTAATGGAATAGTGGAATAAAGTCGTTATTTATGTTTTTTTTCGCACAAAAAGTAGTCTCGTCGCTTGATAAACTTATAATTGAGCCGCTGGAGGCACATGGAATATTTAAACCTTTTCTTTAATGACTTTATGGGCCGTCAAGAGCCAGTCCCTTAGGCAGTCTATCTAGGACTGATCTAGCTCTCAGATTCAATCAAAAATATCTTTATTTGTGTTCCGAAGATGAACGAAGGTCTTACAGGGTTGGAACAGCATGGGGGTGAGTAATTAATGACTTAATTTTCATTTTTGGGTGAACTAACCCTAAGAATAACTGATGCTGCAACACAAATCTCCAGCACACACTTACACAAGACAAGTGTTGAATGCTGTTTGAAAGTATTTTTTTTTTTTTTTATAAAATAACTATAATATGACAGAAATATTATTACTCAAATTTACCAGCATATAGGGCCAACATACACATCTCTGCTAGTACTATGGCTTCAAAAAATTCAAGAAAATCTTATCAAGGCCTTGTGTGTCAATTCAGCAGTTATACAAAGATTTACATCAGCGTAAAACATTTATCTGGTCAAATAACTAATGCAATAGTTATTTACGTACATTTCATTGACAAACAGACAGTAGCAGTTTGGAGGAAACCTCCTGTTCTTGAAGTAGCGCTTGATTACAATCTCATTAACCTCATATTCCGTTATATCTGAAAACCACACATTCATAGTTTAAACAAACAAAACAAAAATTCAGGAATACTTTTCTTCTAATCTATTGTAAGGTTCTTTAATAAGCGCCTAGTTGGAATGAGGTAAAAAGTGCAGGGACTAGACTAAATTAAAGACACGTGTATGCACTTGACGCCACATAAAGCACAAATTAAGATTGTCAAGCAGAATAAATATCAAGTTCTGGAAACTTCACAGATGCCGCACAAAATCTGCACAACAGAAAGCAGCAAATTATTTGATAGAGAACTTTGTAAACAGACAACAAATAAAAAGAATATATCCAGCCACATACACTGTACACAATATCAGAGGGAGGTAGACTGAAAGGCAGCGGCTATTAATGGTTTAGAGGGACAGAATATAAGATGATATGTGAGATGCAAATAACTAAGCCTGGCTGATTATCTGGTACACTGTTTTCTGGCTAATCAATCCAGCTGTCACATACACAAAGTATAAATCTTTAAGTACATTTTGTAAATCAGTGATGGTTCTTTAAAATGGTGGTGTTGGTGAAATTTAACATGTATGCATTGGCCTTTGGACAGACAGAAACACACAATCAAGTTTACTTCAAGTAATTGCTTATAAAGTGAATTATAGTGCAATCGACGTCACCTTGGTGTCAGTCAAATGAATGTTTAACATGAACACAGTCATGGCCAAATGTTTGGAATCAGATTTGTTTCTGCATGCTATTTTTTTTTTTTAATAAACTTTCAACAAGTTTTATATTCCTCTTTTCATACCAAGTAACAATACAAAGTATTTTATTTCTTTCTTTGATCTTTTAGTGGAATTATATTACATGGTATTTCTGAAATAACATATTAGCTACGTCAATACCATAACATTACACCTATTGTTAAGCTTAGCATTTTATCAAAAAACAAAACAAAAACAAAAACAAAAAAACCCATTTGGCTATGACAGTATTTTGATGGTCACACAGTGAAAGAAAATCATAAAATTCATTTCTGGTGAAAAATCTCCCATGACCCGATTAGAGTAATTTAACCCTGATTATTGTCTAAACGCTGAATCTTTTTACTGTTAATATTATTACTTAAAATGTGTTGCCCTTTTCCTATTTCCCATTTTTCAACCATCAAACTTTCCCACTTATTTGAGCCTAAAATAAAGAATACATTTTCTAAAATACCCCAGATGGACTAAATATCATTTTGTGACAGCATTTATCTAGGACACTAGTTGTATATGCAAAGCATATAAATAGATGAGAAGGTGCTTGCCTGACTCCTTAAGGGGAAAAGTTGATTGCTCTGAGCCACACAGGCAAAAGTAGTGGGACAGCTAACTACTGCACTCACGGCTACAACAATGATGGCCATTAGTAATCCAGGTACTTTGGCTGCACTGTACATTAACACAACAAAAACACTCGCTCAGATAAATCAACTCGCATATAGAGCACACACACCCTCCGCAGTGACAGTGAGAGTGACGCACAAAAGGTCAGTTCCTTACCATCACTTATTCTTCACTCGAAATAAGCGTAATTAAAGGGGTCAGTAATTGTGTCAGTAATTCAGAACACACAATCTCGCCTATTTTCAGTGTAGCTGTTGTGGAGAAAGATGAAAGCTCGCTAGTCTTCATGAGCATCTTATTTGTAGGTGTAAATACATGCTAGTGATTCCTCTTCCTCATTCTTATCTCCTTTTGAATATAGACCATAGAGAACCACAGCATTAAGGTGCTGTGCTCAGACACTATGCTTCCAGAGGTTGCCTCAATTAATTTTTAAGTTTTAACCACTCTCTTATTGCACATCTTGTGATATCACTGGCTGCAGGGCTACCCAAGACAGAAGAGAAGGTCTCATATATTCATTCCTCCTGGACCACCTCCTCCTGCGGGGTAGTGCCGAAGACCACCTCCTCGACGCAGGGAATGGAGGGCCACAGTGCAGCAACCCCGCAACAGAGAACCAATATGGTACATTGGCTGACCATCACGGTGTGGACCCCGACAAAGCCATGCCACTGTGGGGACCACTGGCACGACCACTGCAAGCAAATCCACTAGGAAGTGCCGGCTCCAGTAGTTCTTTACAGGTAAACCGCAGCCAGGCGACTTGGAATCGGTGTTTGTAGCGCTCTCGTCAACCTCATCTTCATCATCGGAACCTATATTGATTACATCATCCCCTGCAACCCCAGCCTCTGTAAGTACACTACGAGGCTGAGTGGTCTGTGGAAGGGTGTCCTCTTCCATCTCGACCAAAGTCTGTACCGAGCAAGGCGAGGTCCCAGGGTTTGGCAAAGGGTCTGTTAGAAGTTGAACAGAGTTGATAACTGGAGATACAATGGTCTCTGTGGTCAAAGCTGTTGTTGTGATTGTCAAGTCTGTAAGAGACTCTGAAACAGTAGTCTCCTTGACCGGGGACTCCATGGGGATCGACGCTAAAGATGCAGGTCCTTTTGGAACTGATGCAGTTGGTGTACAAGGCTCCATTGCAACAACCGGTGCAGACTTAGTGGAAAAATCAGTGCCAATGGAAGTTGCTGTAATGGCTGACTCTGTAGCTAACAACTCCAGATCATCTCCCTCATCAGACATCCAGGTAGAGGTCGGGCTGCAGGCTTGAGAGCGGAAGGTACGCTCAGCAATAGTGTCCAGATCAGAGTTAAAAGATGTACTGGGGCCATGTGCTGGCGCTGAAGCCGGAGAATGGTCGGTCTGAATGCCTTGCTCACGCAGGTGGTGCAGGTATAAATGATGATGGGACAGACATGGATTACTTATGCTAACACTGGTCCCCATTCCGATCCCACTGCAGAGGAGTGGTACAGCTCCCGACTCACTGTTGCACAGCGCTTCATAGGTGGAGGAGTGTGGCAGGCGGGAGTACGCATTGAGCAGCGAAGCAGTTTCTTGGGACAGAAATGCAGCCTCCAGGAGCAGGTCTGCCTTGCTGGCTCCTCTTCCACTGTCTCCGCAGCAAACAAACCCGCTGTCCTGCGTGCCCTCGCCTGACAAACATGGAATGTCACACCCGTTTTCATTCCCCCCACGTTCCGGGCCGGTTTGGTCACTCAGCTTGGTGTAGGTAGAGCTGCGGGTAAGCGAGCGAGCTGGGGAGCCTTCTGAAGACTCCTCCAGGCCCTCGCTGACCTCCAGCCCTGCCCTCACCACCCCTCCACCCACTAGGGCTTCTCCTGCTTTGGTGGTCCCGACCTGAGCCAGCTCCATGCTTTGCAATAAAGACTCTAGCTTGTGGTTCTGGAGGTTTATGTCTTGGAAGCACTTCTGCACCCCAGTGTCGGTGTCTCCCAGACTGGATGAGACAACTTCTACAACCTGTTTAAGCTGCTGGATCTCCCTGCGAGCCTCCTTTAGAGCCAGCTGAGCCTCTACACGGTGGCACTCCTCTTCAATCCAGTCTTCTTGCATACGAGACAGCTGAGTACGCAACTCATCAATCTCAGTGTCCCTAAGGAAGGAGGTGGAGAAAGTGAGAAAGAAACAGAGGATGTCAAAAAAGAAAAGGAAGGCACAAATGTACAAAAGTAGTGAGCAGCAGGTAGAGAAAAGACCAAAATGAAATCTGTTGTGAAAATATGGTAGCATTTTATTTTACAGTCCTGTTCCCCATGTACATACTACAGTATGTACTTATTATAGTAATTGCAATAACTAGGTACTAGCCCTGAACCTACCCATAAACCTTACTTTAATCCCTGTAGTTAGCTTTTTTAGGTAAGTACACTGTAAGCACACGTAGGTGCACATGCCGTAAAATAAAGTGCAACCGAAAATACTTTGTCCTATCCCAACTTCATCTAAAATTTCCAAATATATTTCAGTCACAGATAATTGGCCTTTCAAGAAAATTGTAAACATGGCTCTGTGGCAGTTTCAACGCAGCAACATCCTGGCTTAATCAATTGTGTGAGTTTGGAATGGGTCTGTGTTTGTCTGACCAGTGGCATAAGGGGAGTGTGCCAAGGAAAGCTTTTTGGAAAGTGCCAGAGGTCAGGGTTTGTCTGGTTAGCATGGTGCAAAACAACAACAACAACTTTCTCCATTGAACTCCATTCACTGTTTGCCACTGCATGTTCTTGTGATGCCAGCCAATCAACAGTGTTGTTGTGCATTTTTCTGTGGCTCGGCATTACTCATGTGGCCTTTATGGCTCAAGTGATTAACTCATTACACACATCACCTTTACGAATGCATTACCACTTATATGATCATTGCTATTAGACAAATGGGGGCTGCCATTAAAAACAGTTTAGTAATAAATGTTTAGTTCCGAGGCCTTGCCTTAGAGGGAAATAAATGACAAATTGCACAGTCTAAATGCTAATATACAATGGTAAGCAACTTGAATAGGTCAATCAGTCTTTGTAATTGTTACACAGTCTGGAAATCATCAACCAAGTGCAAATTTGGATAACAATTTCAAATAAAAGAACCAGTTTAATTAATTTCTGCTCAAAAACAGATGAGATCATTAGTGCATTGGTCCTCATTTGAATGATGCATGCCTTACCTGTCCTGCAGTCTGTCGATGGTCTCTTTAAGCCGTGCTCTCAGGTGTCTGATACACACCTCTTTCTGTTGCAGTGGAGTTAGATATTGCTCGGGTGGGGGGGGCCGGATACCATGGTTATCATTGCAGGCGGTGTATTTCACGTGACGCCTGATATGAATGAGAAAAGTGGTATATAGAAAAACAATACAATATATAAACAAACAAGAAAGAAGACGTTTGAAAAGGAGCAATGCATCATTGATCTCTGGGTGAGTTGTGTCTCACCTATGGGTTGGGCTTCCATCACTGCCCTTGCATGACCCTGAATTGCTACTGCTGCTAAGAGAGGCATTTCCATAGGGATCGCGGTTACTGACAGGTGCTGGACTTCGTCTGTGCCATAACAGAATCACAAACTCAGTGTCACCTTCAAAGCCACTTAAGAGGACCCGAGACGAGGTATAAACACACAAACACACACTTACATGAACAAACAAAAAATGCAATTCCACAAAACACAAAACAAAACATGCTCACCGATACAAAATGACTAACGTGTCTCTAAAGATACCGTTTTGGAGAAAACATCTTTTATGGATGTAAAAAAGAAAAAGACAAACAGCTTACATAAAACAACAAAAAACGGAACAAATTGCAAAATAATACAAGCAGTTCTATTATAAGCTGTTGCAAATATCATGATAAATGTCAATCATGAATCAATTATGAGAAAAAATATAGCAGCTGAAGAGCAGAAACAGCAGCTCCATTTTGATGATCTGATGAGAGCAAAAGATTTACTTTGCACAGCACAAATATGAAATCCGTATTAACTTTGACGCACATATGCAATTCAAGCTTTAAACCCCCCAATAAAATCAAAAGTTGGATATTATAGGGATAGTGTGCAGTGGTTGAAGAGTTTGAATCCATGCTGACACAATACTACAACAAAGAACAAAGAAAAGTGCAGAAATGCATGACGAGAAAAAAGGAGGAGAAAGAGACAGCACTGATGAAAGAAAGAGGGATAATGGAGCGCTGACCGACAGTGGCGTTCCGGGGACTTTGGGGTCAGAAATCCTCTGCTCTGTCTCATAGAGACCATAATGCCTGACTCCATGGGTGTGTAGTCTAGCTCTATAAACCTGCAATAGTCAAAACTGACCCACAAACAAAATGGAACCATTACACAGGGTAGTAGCACACACCTAAAGTTCACCTTAATAGCTTGACCTGTTTTGTAGATATTCAAAGAAATGTTTCTGTGGACATTTTCTGTGAAATCTTATAAATATGGGATGAATTTGTGTAGAAGTAGAGGTTGCGTTACAAAAAGTCATTATGCAGCACTTTTACGCACTGGGTTGTAACAATTATGCTCTATCTCTTTTTTTCAGTTTCCTCAAAAACACATATACATGCAGATTTGGTCTTTTTGACACACTCATAATAACATTGTAAATAATTTAAATGTACAAAATATTTAGTTAAAGCAACCTCTGGGTAGGCATCATTCTAAAATCCATTTAAAACATCCAATTAAAATTAACATTTAGATGAAAGTTGTTTTTTTTTTATGTCCATGAAACATGAGGTTGCAGATCTGACAGTTTATTTAACAGATTGTCTGACTAATTAATTGAGTCTTAGACAGCGAGATAGATAAAAGGGAGCTTGTTATAATTAATTCTGGTCAGAAACACTAGCAAAGGGCTAGCTAGGATTAGAACCGCTTTGCCACACTTACGAGAATAATAGACATGCTGGACATATTGTACAAAGGTTTCCTAAATTATTTTTGACAGAATTACACTTCCTTTATCTTTATCTTTAGTGTTATGTAAACAAAAAAATGACCTCCTGAACATGCAGATTTATCCTGACCTCACATAGCCTACCAAAATCATAAAGCTGAGGAAAAACAGTACACAATCATCTGTCAAATTTTGAAACAATGGATCATAGGGTAGCTTAGAGCATAATGACTTTTTAATCTCCCAGAAACATTCTCTTTTGGGAACAAGCAGGTTAGCAGCATTGAATGAAAGCAATTCTTTTAAGTGGTGCAGAGTGGTGCGTTCATGATGGATAACTTGGAATCTAGTGATAGTCGGGAATTGATTAGCTGATATTTGGTCTGTTTCATTTCAATTTTGTAAGTGAGTTTTGAGTAAATATCGTTATCAGCATGAACTCAGTTGACCTTTTAAAGCTACAGTTGCAGCAGAGGCTTTAAAAATCCGATCAAAGCAATATCAAATAGAAAAATCAGCAATAATTATTAGACAAAACCAGGTCATAAATGTCCATATTCATTAGTTAAAGGAGAAAAATGAACCTTTGGTCTAAGAACACATTGGTACCTAGTCAACCGTTCTCTGAGATTTATTTTCATGATAATCGAATGTAAAGAGTTTTATCTCTAAAAAAAACTGTTTAGCGTATAATGCTAGTAATGGAAGTAATTAACCGTTTAATTGGCCAGATTGGCCATCAAAAAAAACAACAACAACATAGTAATTATAAACTTCGGTGTTTATTTTTGTGCAACGTGGACTTCAATGAATTTTGTGACTTTACCAAAGCATTTGATTTGTAAGCATATGTAGCCTGCCTATTCCTTCAGTTGCGAGCCTGTGCGCTTTACCCTGACGTTTCAGGATTATCCCCGGCAGGTGGGGACGGACTGGGTTCGGTGATGAAAGGCTTTCAATGACCAAAAAATAATTCAGACTGACAAAATAATAAAAAAATACATTCTTCTTCTTTTAAATGATAATAATAATAGAAATAATAATAACAACAACATCCTTCATCTAAATATCAATAAGCGTCATTAATACAAATAATAATAATAATAATATTAAAAATTGTCATGCAATTATTAATGTGAATGAATGGTAGGCTACTTCATATCACATCATCATCATCACCACCATTGTAGGCCTACATGTGACGTGAATCGAAATTAAATGCTAATTCAAAAGACGTGCTGTAAAAAAATGTATTGTGATAGGTCATCGGCTCCAAGTCAGAGAAGTTTCTCTTCTTTGCCGTCTTCCGTGTGTCCATGGCGTAAAATGAGGGCGTGGGGGGAGCGGAGACTTGAATATTTAGGGGAGTGTTATTCTAATGACGATCGTTTTCAGCCGCCGGATTGATCAAGGGCAGGTATTGCGTACACCTGGATTTCAGCAAAGCTTCATAAATCAGGCGGTGAGAGGAGTGTAAATTTACGCCAACATATACGCCCGTTTCTACGCAAGAATGATAAATGAGGGCCAGTGTGTGTGAGAGACAGACGCAAAGGTGGAACATGCGCTGCCAAACCGGAGACCAAAGAAGACAAGAAAGATGCCAGGCGAGTTATGTGATGATGACACAACCATATCAGATGCTGACAGCAAGTATGAGGTACACGTGCACAATGTCATTCTGGATACCATCATTGAAAGTATTTCCCGACGTTTTGCTAAAAACAGAGAACTATAGGCCTACACAGATTTCGCCCACCAGAATTTCAATGACTTGAAATGTAACGCTAGGCTACCCTGCAGGCGCACTCAATGCCCTGAGCGCCAAACTGATCAGACACGATAGCAGAGCAACTCTTGAGGCATTAGGGTGAACTACTTAGCCTGGCTACGCACTGGGACAAGCCGACCCCATACCATCTAATCGGACTTTGATAGAAGTTTCTGTTAACTCTGTCTGTGACACAAGTTGCATGTGAGCGAAGCTTTTCCACGCTAAAATTCATCAAGAATCGATTAAGGAGCACAGCGGAGGAGCATCTTGAAGCCTTTATGTTGATGGCAATCGAAAAAGAGACTCTGGTTTCTTTGGACACGGATTGCATCATTGAAAGGGTAGCGGAGAAGAGCGCGCTGATGCAACGGCTGCTGATTCAATAAGGTAGGTCATGCTTCTTTTTATCATACCCGTATTTTCCACACTATAAGGCGAAAAAAATGTTCTAAAATAGGTCATTCGTTGAAGGTGCGCTTTATAATCCGGTAGTATATATTCTAATACGGTATATATTCTAATGTGGTTTGGTCATGGTCCTTTTTCTTTAGTGTTGTGTGCGTCGGGCCGCTGTGCCATGCTCGTGTGTGTGTGTTTTTGGCCGCTGTGCTCGTGTGCGTGTGTTTTTGGCCGCTGTGCCATGCTAGTGTGCATGTTTTTTAACGGCTGTGCCATGCTCGTGTGTGCGTGTTTTTGGCCGCTGTGCCATGCTCGCGTGTGTTTTTGGCCGCTGTGCCATGCTCGCGTGTGTTTTTGGCCGCTGTGCCATGCACTGCTCGCGTGTGTTTTTGGCCGCTGTGCCATGCTCGTGTGTGCGTGTTTTTGGCCGTGCCATGCTCGTGTGCATGTTTTTGGCCGCTGTGCCATGCTCGTGTCCATGTGTTTTTGGCCGCTGTGCCATGGTCGTGTGCGTGCAGTTTTTGGCTGCTGTGCCATGCTGGTGTGTGCGTGTTTTTGGCCGCTGTGCTATGCTCGTGTGCGTGTTTTTGGCCGCTGTGCCATGCTTGTGTACTGTTTTTGACTGCTGTGCCATGCTCCTGTGCGTGTTTTTGGCCGCTGTGCCATGCTCGTGTGTGCTGTGAGGGTCCAAAATAAACTTTTTGGCTCACGACTTGCCACGGGTACTGGTAGATGAAAAAATCCACCAGCCATATATATATATTTTTACAGGCCAAAATAATAAACAGCCTTTTTGTGTCACATATACATTTTTGTCATTCATATTTCTGGTGTATTATTTTCCATTCTTACTTTTACATACACACAAATTACACAATTTATACACATTAAAATAATATTTTTTGTGGCGCCTATGAAAATAGTTCTGTACAAATTAAATGTATTAATTGTATAGTAAATAAATAAAATGTAAATAAATAATAAAATAATAAAAAGTATGCAATAATAATATACTAAAATTATATAAAAAAAATAGTTTTACTCTGCCTATTTTTTTTTACTCCATTTACCCTGACTAAAACTCTTTACATTCGATTATCATGAAAACAAATCTCAGAGAACGGTCGACTAGGTAATTAGACCAAAGGTTCATTTTGTGCCGGAGTTCTCCTTTAAGTTGGCAAAAGTATATCAAATGGTCATTTTCATTTTCATTAATTGAAATAACTAAAATATAAATATTCGATGAAAAACTTAAAACCTAAAAATAAATTTACATATTTAAATATAAGTAAATACATTAAGATTTTAATAATGCTCAAACACTGGTCCAAATATAAATTCAAAATAGATTTAAAATGTAAAAACAGACCAATCATAAAAGCACATTTACGGTGACAAGTCACTTTATACTGTCCACCAGGACCACCACTGGTGGGCTGTAAGAGGTTAGCTGAACTACCTAACCATGAAAGCAAGCCACGGTCATGGTTAAGGTGAGAGCAAAGCAGAGAAAATACAAGTAAAGTGAAACAGCTGACACAAACAAAGCGTGCTTGAGGAAACAAGAGAGTGAGAGAGAGAGAGAGAAAAAAAGAGGACTCTGCTATCAATAATGATAGCAAGGAAAGAAAGGGAAACTGAAAAGCAGCTAGGATAGCTGGACAGACCAGGTACGTCCATCATGTTTCCAGGGATATGGACTTATTAAGTGAAAATCGGGTAATGCGGTGTAGTGAATATGTGCACTGCATCGCCACACACTCATTAGAATCACTGTGAATATATCACATTCATTGTAGGTCTCAGATTTTCAATTCAGTCAGAGCCAAAATGCCTACGCATGGGACTGATTCCCGGATTATTAACTCCCTCTGAGCCTCTGTCAAAGACCAGAGAGTATCAGAATTGCCCTCTCAGATCCTCAACATCAGCATCAGTGGAATCAGGTAATAAACTGGTGTTGAATTGGCGTGTGAATGCCCAGTGCAGCAGTGTTGTCTACTATAGTCATGCCCTATACTGTAGGGTACTGAATCAGAGTCTCACACAGGGGATGCAGTGGGAGACGACAGCATTTGTTGCAAGCGGTGCTTAGGCTGTAGGGCCTTCAGCAGGTTGAATCTGAGGAAAGAGATGAGACAGAGGCACAGAGCTGGGCTCTACTGCATTGTTTCCATGAATACCCACTGCCCATACTGGTACATACGCAGTGACAAAATGATCTGTAGTCAGACAGAACTGATGTTGGCTTGGCTTTAACCGAAAGTGTGTGGAAACTACAACTTTTCCATTTATCCATTGTTGTATAATTCATACAATTGTCATTTATAGTTTTTTATTACAACCGTTATGTAAAATTATGCTAAAAAGTTTTTTTTTAAAGAGCAAGTGAGACACAGCGGTATGTAGTATTGTAGTTTAAATTTACTTACTGTATGACAACATTTCTGAGAAGCACACTGTTTTAGATAGCAACCTGATGTAAGTTTATTTAAAATATTGCTTTATCATTGTGCTTCATGAAAAATCAGATACATATTTCTTATATAATTTTTTTTTTAGGAAGTCTATAGCAGACTTTTTACTCTGTGCAAATGAATGAAAGGTCTTATGTCTGTGGTGCTACAGTTAAAAAATCTTGACAGCAGGGAGATAAATTGAAAGAGCTAAACATCTGATGTATTAATGACAGCAGCAGAAGAGAGAGAGAGGATTATTGAAGCACTTGAAGCTCAAAAGGTCATTAAACCGCAGCACAGACATTAGTGTGATTAAGAGTGGCTACATGGGTTAGATATTACAGCAAAGCACCAACACAGCTGCGAGTTTGAAAGAATGTTGGGTTGAAAGAAGATAAACGACAGACAAAAGATATGCCTTACTTGCGTGATCCAGAACCAGATCTTTTATTTGAAGGCGAAGACATGGAGTCAGCAGTCCTCTCCACTTCTTTCTCCTTCTTCAGCTGGATCTGTCCTCCTCCCTGTCAACACAGGATGAAACGCTCAGCTGCAGCCAGCCTGAATGAAACACAAGAACACAGACATTTAAGTCATTTTGACTCGAGGAAAAGCAAACCATAAAATAACCCTAATCTCATTAAACAGCAGTGTCACAAGAAGGTACAGTCAAAAAGGAAAAAAAAGTTTATAATACTATTAAAGAAACAGTTCACCCAAAAATAGGTTTTAAGTGAACTGTCCCTCTGAGACATCCACTAAATGTTTGCGCATTTTCTCATTTTTTTTATTTCTGATCAAGTGAGGCAGATCATGCCATCAAAGTCAAAAGGAAACATAACAATCTGCCCATTTCATTTAATCTATCTGACCTCTTCACACTCAGCAGACCTGGCAGCAGCATTGCTTGCGGAGCTGTAATAAATTTAACATTGTGCTGACACGGACTTGCTGGTCTCTGACTCTGCGCTGGTGGAGCAGACAACAGAAATACAGTAATAGAGATTTGACTTTCACATTTGGACAACTCAGAGATATCAAGGTCTCGCTGCTCTAAAAATGTTTTCATTCCTGATGCAGCATTTGTAAATTAAGAGAAACAGACAAACAAGCAAATGAAAAAAAAAGGTTCAGTGGAGTTCAATATAGAACCCTAGACCTCTTGACTCCGTTTTAAAGAACCTTTATGCCAAAAACGTTATATAAGGCGTCTTAAATGATTGCATAATACTATGATGTTTAACGTTGTTAAACATGTTTGCCAACTAAATCCATAAAATAATGGGAATCCCTAAAAGAGTTTGTTCACCTAAAAAAGAAATGATCCCCTTGATTTATTCACCCTCAAGCAATCCTAGTTGTATATGACTTTCTTCTTTCAGACAAAAACAATCGGAGTTATATTCAAAAATACCCTGGCTCTTCCAAGCTTTATAATGGGAGTGAATGGTATCCTAGAAGCCCAACAAGAAGAAAAGTATCAATATAGTTAACTTTATATACTATAATCACTGACTTTCGTTAATGGCTGGGCAACAAACTCAACATTTCTATTTAAAAATTTTGTTTTACTCTATCCTCTGTGCTTCCGCGTTCAACCTTGAGGCGGATGGGCTACAACAGCAGAAGACCCCACCGGGTACCACTCATCTCCACTACAAATAGGAAAAAGTGGCTACAATTTGCAAGAGCTCACCAAAATTGGGCAGTTGAAGACTGGAAAAATGTTGCCTGGTCTGATGAGCCTCGATTTCTGTTGAGACATTCAGATGGTAGAGTCAAAATTTGGCGTAAACAGAATGAGAACATGGATCCATCATGCCTTGTTACCACTGTGCAGGCTGCTGGTGGTGGTGGTGTAATGTGGGGGATGTTTTCTTGGCACACTTTAGGCCCCTTAGAGACAATTGGACATTGTTTAAATGACACGGCCTACCTGAGCATTGTTTCTGACCATGTCCATCCCTTTATGGGCACCATGTCCCCATATCCTCTGATGGCTACTTCCAGCAGGAAAATGCACCATGTCACAAAGCTCAAATCATTTTAAATTGGTTTCTTGAACATGACAATGAGTTCACAGTACTAAAATGGCCCCACAGTCACCAGATCTCAACCCAATAGAGGATCTTTGGGATGTGGTTGAACGGGAGCTTCGTGCCCTGGATGTGCATCCCACAAATCTCCATCAACTGCAAGATGCTATCCTATCAATATGGGCCAACATTTCTAAAGAATGCTTTCAGCACCTTGTTGAATCAATGCCACATAGATTTAAGGCAGTTCTGAAGGCGTAAGGGGGTCAAACACAGTATTAGTGTGGTGTTCCTATAATAATCCTTTAGGTCAGTGTATGAAGCGTGTGACAGATGAACCTATTATGCCATATTTCAAAGTCTTCATTTTGTTGTTAAAGAAAGTTGAATGTGTAAAAAAGTAAAACTATATAGAAGAGACCTTCCTTTGCTTCTAAGAGTGTAAAAAAGTTATTTCTGCCACAGAGTGCATCCAGAGACACATGGTGAAGAGAAGAGGGATTAATGATCTAAATAATTAAAAAGCCATTGGCACAGCTCAGTATTAGCAGCAACAGCAATATACTCACAAAAAAAAAGTAACTCAATCCTTCTCCTTGATGACATGATCTTTCAAACACTTGGGGTTGGTTTGGGTGACAAAAATGAACAAAACAACAGAAACCTAGCACTTTTGCTGTGAAATGTGCAACCGCTGAGTCAGTATCGGGACATTGTGGTCTCTCTCTGACGCAGTGTGAGTCATAATGTAGGAGCGCAGCAGCTAAATCCATCCTATCTGCTTGAACTTTGCACCGATGCAGAAGAGTGTCTCAGTCTCTCACACAGTTTATTCCGTCTGTATAGTTCTCACTTTCTTATCAAACGCACAACTGCAAACATAAATATCATTGGTGAGTATTAGTGTAGCTTATACAGATAGTAGCAGCATAATGCATGAAATACACAATTACTGTTTTTTGGCTATTTTATGCAAGGATTTTTCTTTACAACAATTTTTATTAGGCTAAATAAAGATACTATATAATCACTGGTGATTCGGTTACATTTTGATGTTGAAATCTGCTGCGTCATGCTACAGTGTCATCAGCACTGGACGACCTCTGTCTGCTGTCGAATGAAATGTGCAGAAAGCTGCAGAAGAGCGATTATTATGACCCAGCACTTCTTTTGTCTATCACAGCCAACATTTAAGCTTTTTACTCCCGCTTTCACAGACAGTCCCAGACTAAAATGCATGTTTGATCTGCTTTAACTGAAAGCAACTTGCACTTGCAAAATATGTCAGTGCCATTGTTTTGTTTCAAGATGCACATCAGGAATATTTTTTAAGGCACATTTTTAAAATTGCCTAATTGAACTAAGGCATAATTCTGGCTTAATATAAGCCCTGTTTGCGAAACTGGACCATAGAGTATCACTGCAGAAAGAATGTCTACCTCTCAAAATATTCCAATAACCAAATATCACATACTGGTGGCTTGCTTCTCTCAAGCAGATTATGTCTTGAATATAAAGCATATGGAAAAGAACAAAGCAACACAACAGATTGATCTGTTTGTCAACTAAGTTCTTCATGCAGGTCTTTTTCATACAAAAACAGTTTACAGTGACCATGACTGTCCAGCTGCAAAACAACAAAACTAAATATAAATGCAGCACCATAGAGTAATCCATAATGCTCTAAGACTTCTGGGGTCACATTTGAGGAACAGACAGAAATTTAAGTTATTATTTCAGTGATGTTATTGATAACTAAAACTATAAAGAATATTTTTATTATTTGAAATACAGCTATAAAATATAATATAAATATTGAAGAAATAAAAAAATAAAATATAAATATTGGATGGAAAATCTTGAACTTTAAATATTAGATGGACAACTTCAGAAATGTTAAATAACTGAAATAGACTATTGTAGTTGAAGAATTAAAATGACTAAAACACAAAATAAATGTATGCTAATTAGAAATATAAAAACACAAAATTACTAAAGCTTAATCTAAAAAGAAAAAGAAAATGGAAAATCTTTAATTAAAAGATAATTCAAAATATTAGTATATCATAACAGTAGCCAGGCTATATAAATATTTCTAAAATAACATGGATTTATATAATTTAAATTGAGAAAACAGTCAGAAGACAATCAGAATACAAATTTGTGAACAAATCCTTGAGTAAACAGTCATGATCAGTATGATTGTTGTATAGAAATATTTTTACAGAAGAAAATGCGATTTAGAAATGTAACAACAGATAAATACATTTCAGAATGTGTTTTATCTGGTACCACTCACAATGAAAATGAGTAGGTCTGCCTATGTTATGCTTTCCTAAATCTAATGAGAGCTAGACTAAAATTTGTAAATAGTTGTAATTTATTTTTTCAAATTTTTGTTTAGATAAAGTTAATTTTTTTAACATGTTCCATGAGGTTCACTTATAATGTTAATAAAGCTGTTGGAGCTTGATTAAATGAATACTTTGTTTATAATGAAGAGGACATTTTAAGCTCTGAAACTTGCAGGATATTTTAATAAAGATCTCTTATATGTCAAAAGATCAAGGCAAATTAAATATTTCATGTCATGACCACTTTAAAAGTTTTTCATCTAATAAATATATTTTATTTTAGCTTTGATTTAATTAAGAAAAATATGAATATTTGCATATTAATTTGAATATTTTTTGAGTAAGACGTGAAATTAAATATATATTTTTAAATATGTGACTTGTTTTCACTGGCTCCTCCCATAGTGAAATATATTGAGTGCTCTCTTTGAAGGCTGAAACCAATGTGGTAAGGAAATGTTTTGGAAGATTAGCTTGAATGCTGAGAGGATGTAGAGCAATCACCATGGAGACAGCCACTATTCTAGAATGTAAGCTCTACAAGTGGTGTGATTGGCTTTCCTTGCTGGTGTGTATGTGTTGAGACAGACAGATGGGATGCTGACATTACGCAACCGCAAGGCAAGCAGGCTCAATGGCAAGTCAATGAGCAACAAATAGAATCCTGCAAAGAAGAGGGTGATAATTTTGATATAAAATAGAGTAAAGGGATTAATAGTGATGCACCGAGACATTCTGTACAGTTTACTTTGACTGGTTGTAATTCTAAATTATGTAAACTTTCTTAACGTGAGAAAGACTACATATATGATGATCTTTCTAGATCCTCACAAATCCACTCTTAGGGCACACTTTCGCTGCAATTTGGCAAGTCCTTACAGGGATGCAAGGTCATACTACACCCTAGGCCGTACAAACTACACTGTCCCTGTCACGACTCACAGCGCACAAGAGGTGCTCAACCCAAATCAGGAATTAAACCAATTTACAGGGCTGGGAAACGATAAATTTCAAGTTATGA